ACTCTCTGCCCCGGATTGTGGTGGTTTCTTCTTTGGAAGCTTTGAAGTAGGGGCTGGATGGCCATCTGCCGGGAGTGCTTTGAATGTGATTGTCCTGCTTCTTGGCAGAATGGGGTTGGACTGGATGGCCCATGAGGTCTCTTCCAACTCTAGGATTCTATGTTCAACAGTGGAACCCTCTGCCCCGGAGTGTAGTGGAGGCTCCTTCTTTGGAGGCTTTGAAGCACAGGCTGGATGGCCACCTGTCAGGGGGGTTTGAAGCTTATTTTCCTGCTTCTTGGCAGAATGGAGTTGGTCTGGATGGCTCATGAGATCTCTTCCAACTCTAGGATTCTATGGTTCTATGTTCAGCAGTGGAACTCTCTGCCCCGGAGTGTGGTGGAGGCTCCTTCTTTGGAGGCTTTAAAACAGAGGCTGGATGGCCATCTGTTGGAGGTGCTTTGAATGCAATTTTTCTGCTTCTTGGCAGGAAGTTGGACTGGATGGCCCACAAGGTCTCCTCCAACTCTAAGATTCTATGATTCTATCATGTGGTGGAAGCTCCTTATTTGGAGGCTTTGAAGTAGGGGCTGGATGGCCATCTGTCGGGGGTGCTTTGAATGCAATTTTCCTGCTTCTTGGCAGGAAGTTGGACTGTGTGGCTCATGAGGTTTCTTCCAACTCTAGGATTCTATCATGTGGTGGAGGCTCCTTCTTTGGAGGCTTTGAAGTAGGGGCTGGATGGCCATCTGTCGGGGGTGCTTTGGATGAGATTGTCCTGCTTCTTGGCAGAATGGGGTTGGACTGGATGGCCCATGAGGTCTCTTCCAACTTTATGACTCTAAGTAACCCTGGTATCGTGTCTCAAAGCTGGCTATTGGAAAGGTATGGAATTCACTCTGTAGTAAGTTCAGCCAGGTCTTCTCCTAGGTTTGGGCCCAAATGCCATTGCCATGTTCTCCACCCAGATATTTCCATGCAAAGCACATTGTCATAGGCCAGGCCGATATGTATTGGATGGTACTCAGTCGCGGTTCTGAGAAGCAGGAGTCACTTGACCCTCATGAGGACCTCCAGATGCTACTCTCACAAAACCGACTCATCATCGTTCCTTCTGGATTGCCTAAAAGAGGATTGGATCATTGTGATGCAAAGCAAAACAAAAAACACAAAAGGGAGCCACATTGCGAGAGAAACCATTGCTTGGTGGAGTTATAATGACATTTGTGTGGCGAACCATGCCCTCGCTGTACTTCTTCTGCACAATGTTGGCTCAATGGGGACAACCTTCTCACCAACTCAGCACACTGCCTACTGCATTTAGAAACGTTAAAATCGCAATTGTGGGGGAGCGTTTCAACCCCCGAATGGGTTAACATCAGGGCCTGTTGGTGTATCTCAAAACAACATGCTTAGTCCAAGAGATTGTTTCCACGCAGAGCTGAAGAAAAAGAATAAGAAGAAGAGGAGGAGGAAGAAGAAGAAAAGGGAGGAGGAGGAGGAGGAGGAGGAGGAGGAAGATTCACAAGGTCACATTCCTGGGAGAGGCCCAAAGCAGCCTTTCTCTGAGAAACTGTCTTCTGAGGATGATTTGTCAGGTGCAGAATTTAATGAGTTTGAAGATAGAATCATAGAGTAGGAAGAGACCTCGTGGACCATCTAGTCCAACCCCATTCTGCCAAGAAGCAGGAAAATCGCATTCAAAGCACCTCCGACAGATGGCCATCCAGCTGTTTCCTCCAAAGAAGGAGTCTATACCACACTTCAGGGAAGAGTTCCACTGATGAACAGCTCTCTCGGTCACCAAACTACAAATCCCAGGATTCTGTAGGCCTTTAAAGTGGCATCACATTTAGAATTATAGGATTATAGAATCCTAGAGTTGGAAGAGACCTCGTTGGCCATCATCCAGTCCAACCACATTCTGCCAAGAAGCAGGACAATGCATTCAAAGCACCCCCGACAGATGGCCATCCAGCCCCTGCTTAAAAGCCTCCAAAGAAGGAGTCTCCACCACACTTTGGGATGGAGGCTCCTTCTTTGGAGGCTTTTAAGCAGAGGCTGGATAGCCATCTGTCGGGGGTGCTGGCCATCCAGATCATAGAATCATAGAATTACAGAGTTGAGAGAGATCTCATGGGCCATCCAGTCCAACCCCCCTGCGAAAAAGCAGGAAAATTGCATTCAAAGCACCCCCGACAGACGGCCATCCAGCCTCTGTTTCAAAGCCTCCACCACACTCCGGGGAAGAGAGTTCCACTACTGAACAGCTCTCCTTACAGCCAGGAAGTTCTTCCTAATGTTCAGATAGAATCTCCTTGTTTACATTGGAGGATGTTTACTTTGGAGAAAAGAAGGCTGAGAGAAAGGCCGCCTTGAGTCACCAACTTGGCCGCCTTGAGTCACCAACTTGGCTGAGAAAGGTGGTATACAAATACAGTAAATAATAAATAATATTTACATGCAAGCCAGGTTCCTTAGGGGTGTGAAAATGGCACAAATCCATTCTGTTTTTGTTCGGAATGAAACGGAACTCAGGATCCTGAATTACGAATCCGAATCTTCCCAAAAACAGAACTCATTTCTGTCATTTCGTACATCCCTAGTTCCAAAATCTGAAAGGCAGTGACACTGAAGAGGGCTCAAGCTTGTTTTCGGCTGCTTTAGAGAGTAGGACAAGGAGCAAAGGATTCAAATATTAGGAAGGTCTTCCTGATGGTAAGAGCTGCCTAGCAGTGTCTCCTTCCCTGGAGATGAGCTGGACGGCCATCCGTCGGGGGGCTTAGATTGTGTTTTCCTACACAGTTGGGGTCTCTTCCAACTAGGATTCTCTCAAAATGAGGTCAAGCTAGATGCCCCTTGTGGTCCCTCCTGATTCTCGGATTCTAAGAGCAGAGGGGAGATTGGGCCTCAGAGTCCACCCAGGTTGGAGAATGACAAAAATGGATTGTCACAAGAATTTCTGGTGCTGGGTTGTTGTAGGTTTTTTCGGGCTGTATGACCATGCTCTAGAGGCTTTCCAACACGGAAGATATAAGAGAAATGCCCCAAGATACTCAAAAGATGAGTCTTTTCCAAGTACGGAAGTACAGAAAAAAGGAAGCGAAACAGGCAACCAATGGAAGAATCCATTCAGAAGACAATACAAAGTGGGCTGCGAGAATCATAGAGTTGGAAGAGACCTCATGGGCCATCCCATCCAACCCCCTGCCAAGAAGCAGGAAAATTGCATTCAAAGCACCCCCGACAAATGGCCATCCAGCCTCTGTTTCAAAGCCTCCACCACACTCCGGGGCAGAGAGTTCCACTGCTGAATGGCTCTCACAGTCAAATGCCAGGCTTGCTTTCTTAATAAACGACGGGGCTGAGCCTCCAACCTCAGCATTCATAAGCATTCAAATGTCACTTCCACACATGCTCAAAGGAAGGACATGTTTGGGGTTTTTTTAGAAGTTGGTGCAAGGTCAAATTAGAATACCTGAAATTGTGGAATATATTGGTTGTCGTAATAGTGATGTATGTGGAAACCGCCAATTAAGGATGTCAAGTGAAACACCTGAATTGACAATACAGCGAGTGAGTTCAGACTCTGGTTTCTGCACAACGGTTTTGTTAGGAGTAGAAGCTGCAAGGACGCTTGGCTACAACAGTCCCGTGACTCAGTTGCCATGCTTCTCCGAGAGCTATGGGTGAATGAACTTATTCAATGGACTGTGAGAGTTGTTCAGCAGTGGAACTCCTTCTGTGGAGGCTTTTCAACAGAGGCTGGAGGGCCATCTGTTGGGGGTGCTTTGAACAGATTTTCCTGCTTCTTGGTAGAATGGGGTTGGACTGGATGTCCCACCAGGTCTCTTCCATGATTCTGTGAATTGAAGGAAATGGCCCTCGTGCCGCAAAGAATTTGCTGGTGGTTCGTTGAGCTGCTCCGATAGGAATGGCTATCTCAAGTACTTGGCTTCAGATGGCGGACTGGCCGCGGTGGCTTTTAACCTGGGAAGACCACATTGGAGACCCCAAGTGAGGCTCCAATGGAAGGCACCGGTCACTTCGCTTGCCCGTCCTGGCCTTTCTCTTCAGACCTCAACGAGGAGCGACAGAGGGATCCCCCTAAAGTGCCAAGTTTGCAGAATCTCAAGATTTACAGCCAGCGGGCGGAGTGGTGCCATCTTGGACTTGATCCCGCGGTGCCTCCAACCCTGGAAATAGCAGTTTTTGCAAGGAGTGAGCAGGAGAAAGAAGACATAGGCCAAAACCTTGGAGGGAAAAGAAGATTCTGGACGCGTGATTTGTACAATTGGATCTTGATGGTGACAGGGAAAGGACAAGCAGCGAGACAGGAGAACTCTGTGAGTTTGTTTTTTTCAAGGCACTTCAATATTGCTTTTCCAGACGGGGGAAGAACCCGAGTGCGGGGCTGCGGCGACGGCATCGGCCTGCGAGCGGTGGGAAGCGGAAACCCATGGATGTGGGCACGGTCGAGACTCATGGTGACGGTTTGGGAGGAAGCGAACGGAACGGGAGTTCGCTATTGCTGCAAAGGAAACACAGAAAGCCAGAAAGACGCCCCTCACCTGCATAGAAAGCGTGCCCTGATAGGAGGGAAGCAAAAGCGCTGACGGCGCGCCCAGGGGGGCCTTCCCATTTGAATGAGGAAGGGTGGCATCTCAGGCCTGCTCCCGTCGGAAGCTGAGGATATGCGGGAGCGGCTGATTCCCAGCAGAGTCACTCTGCTCAGAAAGCGACACTTTGGTTACGCCGTCGCGAGAGAAGGCGACGCATCAGCACCAGAGACGTCCTGTTTCCTAGACATTCTGCAGGCAAAGGTTAGTCTTTGATATTGCCAGGATACTTTGCAAATCTGCTTCCTCCTCACATCCTCACGGTTTGCAGGTTTCAAGCACTGACATCCCGATCCCCAGAGTAGTCATGGAACCAAAGAAATTGGTCAAGAGCAAGAAGTGGTCGCAGCGAAACCTGCCTCCCGGCCTCCTCGAGCCTCTGTTCTGGGCCATGAAAAGACATTTTACCTTTGTTTAAAGCTACTGCACACTTAAAATTGGTGAGGACTTAAACTAAGTGCTCCGGACACGTGATGAAGAGTAAAACCCATAATTTCCTTTCCGAGAAGCCATGCAAGGAAGGTGGTTTCACGTCTTGCAGTCCAGCGAAAACAATAACAACAATAAAGTAATTAATGGTCAATTCATACAAGCAGATTGAGCCGTCCTGTTGGGAACCCCTTTCCATCAGAATGCCTTCCCTCCGTATCATAAACTAGAACGTACGAAGTCCTGAATGCACCATTAAAGTGTCATCAAAAGATATTGACCTAAGACAAGAGTTTTCCATGGTACACAATACGGTCCAAAACAAAACAAAACAAAAAAACCCTAAAAGAACCAACAAACAAAAAGGAATTTGTTTGTCAATAATATACAGTATGACAACTACATCTTGTAAATTATACCCAATACTGCCGGCAGTCTATCCGTCTAAAGAGTATTTTGCCCCCTTTCATCCCTTCCTAATAATCAGATAATAAAATACAGCACCTATAAATAAGCAAAAAAATAACAATATATATACCGAAATCATCTATCATTAGTCTTAAAGATATGGCAATAAAGGAGTCTAAACCAGCAAAACTGTCGAAGCTATAACTGATAAAACAGCTTATTGAAAAAGGTGGCAGTTATGCACTCTATGTGTGCACGAGTACGTAAGAAAATACAGACGTATAAAATTGCACACCCACGCGCACACGCACACGCTCCCATACGCAACCACTCGTCCCTCCACACGCCGCTATGCTCACGCATAGACACATAGACAACAGGAGGAGTCGGAGACAATTTGGAAATTCAACTTTGGACGCCGATCGGCCGGTGCGGCTGCCATTGCCGCCATGGGCTTGGAAGAGCCAGGATTGAGGCAGGGATCAATCTCGCGAGCGCTTTGTGTTGCCGTGTCCTCCGGGCCTGTTCTCTTTCAGTTCAAGGGGGGAAGGAGTATATTAAGATTGGTCCCACAACTGAGAAGTATTAGAAAATTAGAAATCAGTGCTTGCTGTGGGACCACAGTCAGTGAGGAGCTAGTTGGTGAAGGGGCCTTGAAGCGGGATGGGCTGAAACAGGCCCGGTCCTATCTCGGGGTAAATGACAGGCCCCCCACCCTGTGCCCTCCAGGAACACAGAGCTCCACATGTTGGGGGTGATGTGCCCTGCGATCCTCCGAGGGCACACGGCTGGGGAGACTGGACTAAGTGCTTCCCGCGGCTGCAAGCAGCTCCATCCTCCCTCTTCCCAAAGCAATATTACTATATTTCACCGAGTTTAAGGCGACAACAACACTTAGATTCCCAAAAAGAGAATTATCTTGATGGCTATATTTTTTTCCCTTCTGTGTGCGCAATACAGTGTTCCCTCGCTACTTCACGGTTTGCTATTCGTGGATTCGCTGTTTCGCGGGTTTTTACCCCCCAGTTTATGAATGGTTGCCGTTGCCAAGAGCGGCGTTTTAATCCCGCTTCCTGACAACGATGGAGTGTGGAAGGGGGTCTCACCCTCCTACTCGGGGGAATCAAGAGAGATTGCAAAGAAAAGCAGAGATAACTAGCAAAAAAAATAAGTGTGCAGTGCCTTTAAATCTCTCCTCGCTTCTGCCTCAACCTTGGAACTCGATACACACATATAGCGTCCCTACTTTGCGGATTTTCACTTTTCGCGGGTGGTCCTGGAATGTAACACCCGCGATAAGTGAGGAAACGCTGTACTTTTTTTCCCATTCCAACCCAAAAGTCATCTCATCCTCATGAGTCTGTTTTACTAATTCTATGGGCCCGTTGGGGAGGCAGCGGAAGCAGTGCTTCCCCTGTATTGTCGAAGGCTTTCATGGCCGGAATCACTGGGTTGTTGTAGGTTTTTCCGGGCTATATGGCCATGTTCTGGAGGCAATTTTTCTCCTGACGTTTCGCCTGCATCTATGGCAAGCATCCTCAGAGGTAGTGAGGTCTGTTGGAAGTATATAAACCAATTTTTCCTACTTCCAGATATATATTTCCAGATATATAAACCCATTTTTCCTACTTCCAACAGACCTCACTACCTCTGAGGATGCTTGCCATAGATGTAGGCGAAACGTCAGGAGAAACATTGCCTCCAGAACATGGCCATATAGCCCGGAAAAACCTACAACAACCCAGTGCTTCCCCTGCTTCCCCAAAAATAAGACATCCCCTGAAAATAAGATCTAGTAGAGGTATGGCTGAATTGCTAAATATAGCTCAGCCAGATGGTAAACAGATGTCTGGCTGAGGACAAAACGGTGGCCTCCTCTCCCTCTCGTAAAAGCAAACAAGGCTGGGGCTCGCTCTTCCTTTTCAGAGAACTCGATATACATGCATAGCGTCCCTACTTTGCGGATTTTTTACTTTTCGTGGGTGGTCCTGGAATGTAACGCCCGCTATAAGTGAGGGAACACTGTACTTTTTTACTGTTACAACCCAAAATTCATCTCTCGTCCTCATGAGTCTGTTTTACTAATTCAATTTTTTTTTAAAGTGAATTGAAGGCGCCATCGATTCTAAGACACACCCTGTAATTGGAGCCCCTAAAATGGGGGCAGGAGAGAGGAGAAGTATGCCTTAAATTCGGTGAAATACGGCAACTGAACTCTTCCACCTTTCTGGTCAACCTGCGCATAAGTGTGTACGTTTTGTGCCTGAAGACCAGCCAAGGATGGTGGCATTATTCCTTTCCGCCCAAATCCGATTGCTCCTTTCCTTTTGGGGCACAAAGCAGTCATGCGCAGCAGCGCACTCGATGGGTTCGCTCTTGCCAGGAGAGCCCAACCGGACCGATCTGTGCGCCCGTCCCGTTCCAAAATGTCTCCCACTCCTCCTAGAAATGAGGTCTGATCCGCGTGCTCCGTGGTTAGAGGTTAGAAAGCAGATTACAAAATACCTAGATTTCAGAGCGTTTCTTCGTCTCCTTATTCTGTCCTGATTTGGCCTAAAATGGAGTGTATTAAACAAACCCCGGCCCGTAAATGAGACCGGGATCGGTTAAAGCTATGAAACGATGTGCACTACAAGAAGTCAATTTTCTATCCCACTTTACAAGAAAAAACACTGAAATCCGCTACCACAAATTAAGATATTTTTCCTGATGTGACTTTTTTTTTGTTTTTGTTAAAAAATACGTGGAGTAAATGTGGTTTTTTTTTTTTTTAAATCCCAAGTTTCAAACAAATATTCTTTTTCTTGAAAATAGTTAGGAATTCAAACTAGTGTGTTTAGAGTCGGGTGGACTGTGCAATCTCTTAGTGGCAACTGAACAGCTACAAAAAACACCTTTTTCTCTTCTCCAAAAAATCTCCCCTCCCCTCCTTGTTTTTGTTTGTTTCTGTTTTCCTGGTTACAGAAGATAACAGTGTATTATTATCGCTCTGTTTAGCCATTAGATGGCAGGTTAAAAAGCCCCCTTTTAAATATGTGGGTTTCGTTTTTTTTGTTTTTCTTGCTTGTCTCTATCTGTTTTAAGGCCCACACCAAAGGGGAGGGCAGAAGGCAAAAGTTGTGTGAGTTTTTTTTTTCTTCCCCAGAAACTGTGGAAATCACTTTAGGGCAATTAATAGAAACACTTCAGGGTACAAAAAGCGGGAATACACAATTCTTTTCCGTCTTCGTCGTCTTCTTCTTTGTCGTCGAAAACACAAACATAAAACGCGGAGACGCTCCTTTCTTCTCTAGATGCACCTTGGCCTATGGCGTTTTGTGCCCCGTGGCCTGCAGGGCGGTAAGTGCGGGACGTAGATTCAAAACCAGCAAAGAGGTCCAAGCGTCCGCTTCCCCAAGCTCCGGAGTGGCACGGAGTGGGGGTCCCTACTCTCAAAACTCCCACTCCACGGGCTCCTCCCGGCTGGCGGCCTTCTCCAAGCGGTGGATTATGCTGTTCAAGTTGGCCGCCTTCTTTTTCCGCAGAGAGTTGTCCCGGGTGTTTTTGGAGCAGGCCGTCGCCTCGGAGAAGCCGAAAAGGCTCTCCAAAGAGTTGACCTTCTGGGCGCCCGACGTGGAGCTGGTACTTGGCACTATGGGAATCCTCCCCACTCGCTCCTCCTTGGACTGGCAGGAGCGCCCCCCTGGGAGGACCGAGCCGGCCGAGGTCGAGGCGTCCTCCTCCCCCTCCTCCAGCACACAGTTCGGCGTGGCCCTCCCGGTCCCCCCCGAATGCCGGCGGCCTGGCCGCGGAGAGGCTCTGAGCCTGCCCTCCTCGTCCGTATCGTCTTCCCGGCTCTCTGTCTCCGGCTGGAATGTCTCTATCTTTTCCGAGGATCCGGTCTCTTCCCCGTCAGCGGCTTCGAAGGCCGAAGGCGCTGCTCGCCTTCCCTGAGACTTTGTGGTTGCCGTGTTGCTGCTGTCGTCGTCGCAGTCCGGGCCCCCGAGCTTTGTGTCTGATGGCCCGTCAGTGTCCACCCCGTCGCAACTGTCCCCCTCGGAGCCATGGGCTGCCCCCCGGGCACTTCTGGCGGAAGGGGAATCGCTGGCCCCCGCCTGGCCCTGGCCTCCTGCTTGGATCTCCTCGATAAAGAGCTCTCGGCGGATACGAGACCTAGGGAAAAGGACAAGGAGAGAATAAATAGGGGCAGGCACGTGGTCGGATCCAGGTGGTCCCACACCTGCGGTTCCCAAACCTTTTCCCGAAGAAGACGTTTTATTTATTTTATTTATTGCATTAATTTTTTTTATTTATTTACGGCAATTTTATGGTGCCCTCCTCAGAGATTCTGGCTGTGAGGGCCTTCGACAACACATTAAGGCTGGCTTCACAACCAGGACGGCATGCCTCACTCCCGAGGGGGGACATGTACCTATAATTGTGGAACCAGTTAATGACAGTGCTGGTCTTCAGGTTGAGCTGCGTGGCCAGTTCTTCAATGGTTTTTGGTGATGGATATGGCTTCTGCTGGTAGGCGCGCTTCAGCGCTTCCTTCTCCTCGGGGGCCAGGACCACGCGGGGCTTCTTCAGCTGGTGCTGGGCCTGCGGACTGGCCCCTTGGCTGTAGTCTAGCCCGGCTGAGGCTGACTCCGATGGCTGGCTGTCGCTGACGGAGCTGTGCCGCCGCTTCATGTACGCTAAAGGACAGAAGAAGGAAAGAGGTGAGTTAGAGGGGGGAAAATATTTTCAAAAAACATGTCATTACTATGGTTGGATAGGAAGATTTTATTATTTCACAATCACGATATAGAAACAATAAGGAAAAGAGACAAGAAGAGTTTCCCCACCATAAAGTCTCATTCAGACTTGGTTTAGCCTCTTTTTTTTACCCTTTCCAATTCTGTGCTTATTTCCCTCTTATATCTGTTCTTTTTTTGCCCCCTCCATCCGGGAAGAGTTATACCTCTATTTTAACTTTTGTTTTGTTTGTTGGATCATAGAGATGGCCTACACCTTCAAAGCATGTTCATAGAGATGTGTAGTATTGGTAGAGTGTCGCTTTTGGAGGTTCCTGTGCTGGCTGGATGAAGGAGGACTGATGAGAGAGGAATGTGCTTCTTGCAGTGTGCCAAGATGTGAGCAGACATGATTGATGATTGTCTTGTATATATTGTGTAAAATAAAGATCCCACAAATGAACATTATGTTTTTATTTATATAGATGGTCTTAGCGATTTTAATGCATAATTATAAATTTCCTGTTTAGATTTTATGATTTGGTTTTACATGCATCGATCATGGTATCCTTCTGGGTCGTCTCTCTGGGATGGGTCTCAGGGGCACAGTTCTGTCGTGGCTACGGTCCTTCCTGGAGGGTCGATCCCAGATGGTGAAGCTGGGAGACACCTGCTCGGACCCCTGGCCTTTGACCTGTGGGGTCCCGTAAGGCTCTATTCTGTCTCCTATGCTTTTTAACATCTACATGAAACCGCTGGGAGAGGTCATCCGGAGTTTTGGAGCTAGGTGCCATCTCTATGCGGATGACACACAGCTCTACTACTCCTTTCCACCTAACTCCAAGGCCTCTCGGGTGCTGGACGAGTGCCTGGCCGCTGTGTCTATCTGGATGAGGAGGAACAAGCTGAAGATCAATCCCGACAAGACAGAGGTCCTTCTGGTCGATCGCAAACCTGACCGGGGTATAGGGTGGCAACCTGTGCTGGACGGGGTTACACTCCCCTTGAAGTCACAGGTCCGCAGTTTGGGAGTCCTCTTGGATTCTACGCTCTCGCTTGAGGCTCAGGCGTCGGCGTCGTCTGGGAGGGCTTTTGCACAACTGAGACTTGTGCGCCAACTGCGACCGTACCTCGCAAAGGCAGATCTGGCCGGAGTGGTCCATGCCTTGGTCACCTCCAGATTGGATTACTGCAATGCGCTCTACGTGGGGCTGCCCTTGAAGACGGCTCGGAAGCTCCAACTGGTCCAGCGATCAGCAGCCAGGATGCTAACGGGGGCCCCTTACAGAGAGAGGTCAACCCTCCTGTTTAAGGAACTCCACTGGCTGCCGTTTATATTCCGAGCCCAATTTAAGGTGCAGGTGCTTACCTACAAAGCCCTGAACGGTTTGGGACCAGCCTACCTGCGTGACCGCATTTCCATCTACGAACCCACGCGTTCTCTTAGGTCATCTGGAGAGGCCCTGCTCGTGATCCCACCAGCGTCGCAGGCGCGCTTGGTGGGGACGCGGGACAGGGTCTTCTCCGTAGTGGCCCCCCCAACTCTGAAACACCCTCCCCAAAGACCTTAGACAGGCCCCTTCATTGGCTATCTTCAGAAAGAACTTAAAAACCTGGCTTTTCCGATGCACCTTCCCAGATTAGGAAATCTCCACTACCGAGTCCCACAAGCACTTTACCAGAACCAATGATTGCTGCACATCACACTTGCCCTAGTAACCCTCTATACACCTCCTGTCAAATCAGCACTTTTAATCCTTGTACCCACCTTTTGGCCCGGCCCAGTTTTATTGTGTTTTAATGTACTGTGCTTGTTGTTTATTCTGCTTTAATTTGTTTTAATTGTTTGATTTGCTTGATTGTATTGTTATGTTGTATTGTTGTGGCCTCGGCCTGTTGTAAGCCGCATCGAATCCTCTGGGAGATGCTAGCGGGGTACAAATAAAGTTTAATAATAATAATAATAATAAATGCATGTTAGACATTTTGCCAATCCGTTGGATTGATCTTCCCACATCACTCTTTAAAACCCCCATGTCTAGACATACCCTATTCTGTACACGCCCAGGGTTTTAAAATTTTAATCTACATTTGACACTGCCATTGTGTTTGAAATCTTTTGTGTGTTATTGCTTACATGTTTAACTGTATTATTTATATTGTTTTATTTGCTTGCTTGGTTGTTGATGTATTGTTGTATTTGTATTTGACGGGCTTGGCCTCATGTAAGCCGCCCGAGTCTCTTTGGGGAGATGGTGGCCGGGCATAAATGACGTTTTATTTATTCTTCTTCTTCTTTATTATTATTACTAGCCATCCCCTGTCACGCATTGCTGTGGCCCACATGGGGGTTCTGTGTGGGAGGTTTGGCCCAATTCTATCACTGGTGGGGTTCAGAATGCTCTGTGATTGCAGGTGAACTATAAATCCCAGCAACTACAACTCCCAAATGTCAATTTTCCCCAAACTCCACCAGTGTTCACATTTGGACATATTGAGTATTCGTGTAGAGTTTGGTCCAGAGTCCACAGTGATATTTGGATGTAGGTGAACTACAACTCTAAAAACCAAAGGACACTGCCCACCAAACCCTTCCAGTATTTTCTGTTGGTCATGGGAGAACTGTGTGCCAAGTTTGGTTCAATTCTATCACTGGTGGGGTTCAGAATGCTCTTTGATTGTATAATTTCCAGCAACTACAACTCCCAAATGACAAAATCAATTATTTTTGAGTGAAGGACATACATTGGGTTGTTAGGTGTCTTCTGCCCAAATTTGGTGACAATTCGTCCAGTGGTTTTTGAGTTCTGTTAATCCCACAAATGAACATTACATTTTTATTTATATAGATGATGATGATGATGATTACGTTGTAAACCACTTTGAGTCTCCCAGGGATGAGAAAAGTGGAATATAAATACAGTAAACAAACAAACAAATAATAAACACTGGGACTGTGGAGCAGCTGGCTGAGTCAGCTGCATTAAGATCACTACTGACCAAAAGGTCATGAGTTCAAAGCCAGCCCGGGTCGGAGTGAGCTTCCGACCAATTTGTGTAGCTTGTTGTTGACCTTTGCAGCCCAAAAGATAGTTGCATCTGTCAAGTAGGAAATTTAAGTACCACTTATGTGGGGAGGCTAATTTAACTAATTTACGATGTCATAAAAATCTCCAGCAAGCATGCAAAGAATGAGGAAGTACCTCATCAGTGTCACAAATGGACGGTGAAGCGACAGCTCCCCCAGTAGACAGAATACTCTCATGAAAAAAACTGGATTGTTAAATAGCCTCTGAGAGTCTGTCTATATATGTTGTGTGTCTATGGCATTGAATGTTTGCCATGTATATGTACACTGTAATCTGCCCTGAGTCCCTTGCGGAGTGAGAAGGGCGGAATATAAATACTGTAAAAATATATATATATATATATATAAAATGCCGAATGAGGCTCCCTCCACGAGAGGAATATTCTCACTGAGCTGCAAGAGACCACTCTATGGGCCCTCCAACCCAACCTCCTTCTACCAGGCGGGGGAATGCAATCAAAGCACTCCTGACAGGTGGCCAACCTGCCTCTGCTTAAAACCTCCAAGGAGGAGACTCCCAGGCTACGCATTCCACTGCTGCACCACTCTTGCTCCTCCAAATGTCCGTGTGGAGAGAGACTCTTTCCTGCAATTTGAGTTTTGAACAATCGGCTCCTGGTTGAGACCACAAGAGGGCGCTTGGAGGCCGGGAAATCTCAGCACCCGGAAGGAAGCCCAGGCCCGAGAAAGGCTTAACAGAAGAGAGGAGAGGCTTCCTTCCTCCTAGGTGAGTGGTTCTCGCCTAGGAGGTCTTTTGGCCTACAACTCCCAGAAATCCCAGTTTACCAGCTGTTAGGATTTCTGGAGTTGAAGGCCAAAACATCTGGGGAGAAACCCACTGTGACGTAGACAGAAGGCCTGGGCCATTACAGTCCCGGATCCATGCCGCTTTCGGGCAAAACACCTGATTGAGAGTCCACAGAAACACGAAGGCTGTACCCAAGTTACGAACAAGATTGGTTCTGCAGGTTTGTTCTTCGGCTGAATTTGTATGTAAGTGTAACTCCAGCCATACATATACCTTTATTTATTTATGACATTTATATGCCGCCCTTTTCACCCCAAAGGGGACTCCGAGCGACTTGCAAGATATATATACGTACAATATATTATATTATTAGCATAGCACCATATCAGTATTATATTACTACATTGTACTATACAATTATATTGTAATATTATTAGTAAATAGCTGTCCCCTGCCTTGCGTTGCTGTGGCCCAGTCTGTGTATATGTGTTTTGTGTGTGTATATATATATGTATATATGTGGTTTTGCACATGCATTGTAATGTATTTTTGATTTTTTGGCTTTTTTAAGCCTCTCCTGCTGTGTTTTTCAGTGTTTTTATGAGTGATAGTCACTCATTGGCCTGAGAGGTGTCTTGTGTCCAAATTTGGTGTCAATTCGCCCAGTGGTTTTTGAGTTATGTTAATCCCACAAACAAACCTTGCATCTTTATTTATATAGACTAGCTGTCCCCTGCCATGTGTTGCTGTGGCCCAGTCTGTGTATATGTGTTTGTGTGTGTATATATATATGCATATTTGTGTATTTGTGTATATGTGTAGTTTTGCGCATGCGTTGTAATGTATTTTTTATTTTTTTGGCTTTTTAGGACTCTTCTGCTGTGTTTTTCAGTGCTTTTATGAGGGATGGTCACTTGTTGGCTTGATAGGTGTATCGTGTCCAAATTTAGTGCCAATTCGCCCAGTGTTTTTGAGTTATGTTAATCGCACAAATGGACATTACATTTTTATTTATATAGATACTAGCTGTCCCCTGACACGCATTGCTGTGGCCCAGTCTGTGTAAATGTGTTTTTGTGTGTATATATTTGTGTATATGTGTATATATAGGTGTGTTTGCATGTATATGTGTGTGTGTGTGTGGTTTTGTGCATACGTTGTAATGTATTTCTTTGTTTTTTGGCTTTTTAGTCTCTTCTGCTGTGTTTTCAGTGTGATGGTCACTTGTTGGCCTCATAGGTGTCTTGTGTCCACATTTGGTGTCAATTCGTCCAGTGGTTTTTGAGTTATGCTAATCCCACAAATGGACATTACATTTTTATTTATATAGATTACATGTAATATAAAATATATAATTATAATACCATATAATTATTAGTATTGTATTACATTATAATATCATAAATATTATATGTATATACAATATATTATATTATATTATATTGTATATTATATTATATTATATTATATTATATTATATTATATTATATTATAAGCATAGCACAGGAGACAAGGTGGAATATACATATTCCTCCTCCTTCGTGACCAATGTCCTGTCTGTTGGAAATAGTAACCTTCCAAGCCTCCACTAACTGTTTGTAAATATATATAATTGTTAACCTATACCAGTGGTTCTCAACCTGTAGGTCCCCAGATGTTTTGGCCTACAACTCCCAGAAATCCCAGCCAGTTCACCAGCTGTTAGGATTTCTGGGAGTTGAAGGCCAAAACATCTGGGACCCACAGGTTGAGAACCACTGACCTATACTGTATGTGGAGCCCTCAGTGGCACAGTGGGTTAAACCACTGAGCTGCTGAACTTACTGACCAAAAGGTTGCAAATTTGAATCCGGGAAGTGGGGTAAGCTCCCGCTGAGAGCCCCAGCTTCTGCCAGCCGAGCAGTCTGAAAACATGCAAATGTGAGATCAATAGGTACTGCATCTTTGAGAAGGTAACGGTGCTTCATGCAGTCATGCTGGCCACATGACCTTGGAGGTGTCTATGGACAACACCTGCTCTTTGGCTTAGAAATGGAGATGAGTACCAGAGTCCCAGAGTCGGACACGACTGGATTGAAAGTCAGGGGGAAACCTTTTGCAGCTAAAAGGTAGTGATTTTGTCAGTGTCAATAGTTTTTAAGGGCTGGCCATGGTCTTTAGGTGCTGCACCCAGTGTGCCTATAGTTATGTGCCAATAATAATAATAATAATAATAATAATAATAATAATTATTATTATTATTATTATTATTATTATTATTATTATTATTATATATGCTTTGGATAGCATAAGGAAGAGTTGACACCCCTATTGTGTTTGTTCAGGAGATTTCACCGTACTTTCTGTCCCTGTTAGAAATGGAATGTGAAAAATGTGGCTTTTTGTGGAAACAAGGGTAGGGGATGAAGCCTCACTGGAGACCCTTTTTCCCCCATGATGACAACTCTTTCAGTATGTAATGTTATATGGAATGAAAGTTCCTTAAAGTTTAAACGGTGTGATTTCAGAAATGTATGGGTTAAAATATAGAGATGTGTAGTATTGGTAGTGTCACATTTGGTGGTTCCTGTGCTGGCCAGATGAAGAAGGACTGATAAGAGAGGAATGCGCTTCTTGCAGTGTGCCGAGATGTGAGTGGACATGACTGATGATTGCCTTGTATATATTGTGTAAAATAAAGATAAGTGCCGCTTTCCGGTGAAAGCCGAATCGAAGGAGTCCAGTGGCTTTACCACTTTGTGCTTTCAAGCAGAACTTGGAAAGTTGAAGCACCTGAGATAAGGATGGTGATTTATCTCAATTCCTAACAAATTCTTCCAGGAGTGGATTTTCCTTCCTTCCTGGGGGGGGGGGGGGGGGGGGGGAGAGATTCTTCTCACTTCCTGTTGCCTCCCTTCTTAACTCGGGAGTCGTTTGTAAGTTGGATGTAACTCGGGAGTCATTTGTAAGTCGGACCAAACTCTGTACAAAATGCCCTTAGAAGCACTTTATTTTTCGGATGCTGTTAAGATGTTCCAGGAACCTGTTGAGTTCTTCTTCTCCATGGCTCCAAATGGTGAAGGTGTCATCCACATATCTGAACCATATAGTGGGCTTTTTGGTTGCTGTCTCCAGGGCTTGTAGAAATGAGCTATGACCGGGCTGAGAGGGCTCCCCATAGCTACTCCATCTTTCTGTTCATAGAACTCATTGTCCCACTGAAAGTAGCTGGTGGTGAGGCAATGGTGAGGGAATGCCACAGTAATCATGCATACAGAACAATACAAGGAGAAGGTCAGAAAACTCCTGGATCCTACGATATACAGAAAACTTAAACAAGACCCAACTTCCAAAATAACCAGAAAAACCAACACTCTGATTAAGAACTCCTCAATCAACTTCGTCATACGACAACAGCTATGTAAATCGGAAGCCCTTCCACCCAAGCTTTATGGACTCCCAAAAATTCATAAGGACTCCACCCCACTCAGACCCATCGTGAGTGCCATTGGATCCCCCACATATGACTTAGCAAAATTTCTTGCTGCACAGTTACAAAGCCATATTGGGCTCACTACACACTACATCAAGGACTCAGCCCACTTCATAGAAAAAATCAGCAATCTCAAGCTAAATACAAACGACAAACTGATCAGCTTTGATGTGGTATCTCTATTTACCATGGTCCCGGTAGCAGACACCATGGCACTCATCAACCAGAGGTTCCCAGAAGACATCACGGCTCTGTTTCACCATTGCCTCACCACCAGCTACTTTCAGTGGGACAATGAGTCTATGAACAGAAAGATGGCGTAGCTATGGAGAGCCCTCTCAGCCCGGTCATAGCTAATTTCTACATGGAACACTTTGAAAAACAAGCCCTTGAAACAGCAATCAAAAAGCCCACGATATGGTTCAGATATGTGGATGACACCTTCACTATTTGGAGCCATGGAGAAGAAGAACTCAACAGGTTCCTGGGACATCTTAACAGCATCCACCCAAACATCCAATTCACTATGGAAAAAGAAAATGAAGGAAGACTGCCTTTTCTAGATGTCCTAGTCATCTGCAAACCAGATCAACAAAGGAGAAAAATGGCCTCCAGAACATGGCTATATAGCCCGGAAAAACCTACAACAACCCAAAGTATTATTAGTATTATTATTATTATTTTACTGACACAAAACCACAGTATGTCACAGCAAACGAGATCTATATGCTGGATTTCGTATCACAAAATCACAAGTCGAACACTTCCCAAGCGTCTAGGACTGTGTGATGTATTTTCGAATGATGTGCGCAGATCCAAGTCAGGTGGCCTTTTGTTTATTATTATTATTATTATTATTATTATTATTATTATTATTATTGCAACTCGAGGTGGCCTAAAATCAGGTTGGGCTGAATCTGTGTAAACAGGAAGCCTTGCTTCAGGAAATGCAACCGTGGAGCTACCTATAGAGCTAACTCCAAGCACAATGTTTACTATCAGTGAGCTGGAATTGTAATTCAGATCTTAGAGCAGAACAGGGTTGGACTCTACGCTTTTATGGCCCTAAGAGAAGCACCAATTCAAGAACCAGTTTGAGAACCAAGGCGACCGGCGCTGCGGGCGTTACCTTTCTTCTCCATGCGCTTCATGTCCATCAGCTTCTCCACGTTGTTGGGGTCGTTGAGCCAGAGCTGCATGCGGACAAAGGGCTCCCGTCCCTTGAGGCTGAGCTTGTGCCAGGGCTTGGGGCGGGCGAGCAGGTCCGAGACGGAGCCCTGCGTCAGGCCCAGGATGGTCTCCCCAAACAGACGCTGCCCTGTAAAGAGACCACACCGCAAGTTGAGTTTGCGCTGACAGTGGGAAAGGCAAAGGGTTCAGGAGGGAGAAGGGCGGCGAACGCAGTCGAAGTGCAAAACGCCTCCAAGAAGCGGAAACCTGGGAAGAGTGCGGCAGGACCACCACAAGGAAGGAGCAACCATCCCTAGGAAAGGTGCGCCATTCTCTCAAAGCCATCGAGAGCGGTTTTGAAAGCCGTCACAAAAGAATCGAAGCACGCTATACGGCACGGGAGTTGGGGCCACCCTACCCTTGAATGCTCTCCCACTCAAAATGCAGGAAACTATAGGCCACAAGGCAGGGGACTCAGAGCACACTCCGTGTCGCTTCCCTCTCAGGACGTGACCCTTGATTTTGACCAAGATGTTGTGATTCCGGCTCCGATTCTCTTTGCTTAAGCAGCTCGGGATCAATAGGAGCATAGTGTCTAGATCTAGGGAAGTAACGCTACCCCTCTATTCCGCTTTGGTTAGACCACACCTGGAATATTGTGTCCAATTCTGGGCACCACAATTCAAGAGAGATATTGACAAGCTGGAATGTGTCCAGAGGAGGGCGACTAAAATGATCAAGGGCCTGGAGAACAAGCCCTATGAGGAGCGGCTTAAGGAGCCGGGCATGTTTAGCCTGAAGAAGAGAAGGCTGAGAGGAAACATGATAGCCATGTATAAGTATGTGAGATGAAGCCACAGGGAGGAGGGAGCAAGCTTGTTTTCTGCTTCCCTGGAGACTAGGACACGAAACAATGGCTTCAAAGAAAGGAGATTCCATCTGAACATGAGGAAGAACTTCCTGACTGTGAGAGCCGTTCAGCAGTGGAACTCTCTGCCCTGGAGTGTGGTGGAGGCTCCTTCTTTGGAAGCTTTTAAACAGAGGCTGGATGGCCATCTGTTGGGGGTGATTTGAATGCAATATTCCTGCTTCTTGGCAGGGGGTTGGACTGGATGGCCCATGAGGTCTCTTCCAACTCTTTGATTCTATGGTTCTATGATTCTATGATCGTGCCGGTCTTTCCTCCTGTCTCAACTCACTCGGGGCCGATGGAGATCTTTAAATGCCACTTGGACATTAAATAGCAGGCTCCTCTCTCGCCAGAACAGTCACCACATGGAGAGCTACTCCTTCCCCAGGCCTTTCAAGAATGGGTTTACTGTTGCTCTTACTTTGCTTTTATGCCCTCTCTCCATACACCGCTGGGTTTTGTTTACATGCTGTTTTTATTGCTTGACTATATCTGTATGCTGCATTTTGAGTAGTATGACCAACCCGCCAACCCAACCGCAAAACCTGGATATCTTGGGATAAGCAACGATGTTCTGAGTAGACTAGAGCTCTGCCTGGTATTGCCTGAAAGTAGGGGCTGCCCGAAGTTAATAGAATTTGTAAGTGGGGTGAACCTGGATTTGTGATCTAGCATCTAACTGTTGCCAGAGTTATTATTTGTTCTTCTTTTTGCGCACAAACGGTCACCCCGATTTGCTGGATGCCTATCTGCTTCCTCGGGTCTTCCTAACCCGTGGAAGGTCGATGGCTCCCTTGTTTTTCGACCGGGAGACTTTGTGAAACCACCGCACGGTCTCCTCTGGAGAAAGACCAGAAGGCAACCGCACTAAGGTCCGAGGCACAGCAGGTTTCGAAAGGAAGAATGTCAGTTGCAAGATGAATCGGATGGGAAAGTGGGATATAAATCTCCCCAATCAATACAGTAAGGCAGGGGTCCTCACACTTTTTAAACAGAGGGCCAGATCACAGTCCCGCAAACTGTTGGAGGACCGGATTATAATTTGAAAAAAAATATGAATGAATTCCTATGCACACTGCACATATCTTATTTGTAGTGCAAAAAACACTTAAAAACAATACAATGATCAAAATCACAGGGAGGAGGGAGCAAGCTTGGTTTTCTGCTGCCCTGGAGACTAGGATGCAACGGAACAATGGCTTCAAACTACAAGAAAGGAGATTCCATCTGAACATGAGGAAGAACTTCCTGACTGTGAGAGCCGTTCAGCAGTGGAACTCTCTGCCCCGGAATGTGGTGAAAGCTCCTTCTTTGGAAGCTTTTAAACAGAGGCTGGATGGCCATCTGTCAGGGGTTCTATGAAAATGAAGATCAATTTTAACAAATATTATTAGTATTTCAATGGGAAATGTGGACCTGCTTTTGGCTGATGAGATAGGATTGTTGTTGTTCTTGTTGTTGTTGTGTGCTTTCAAGTAGTTTCAGACTTAGATTGACCCTGAGCGAGGGCCGGGTAAATGACCTTGCAGGGCCGTATTTGGCCCTCGAGCCGTAGTTTGAGGACCCCTGCAGTAAGGAAACAAACCGATATTCTTTGGGACACGGAAACCTCTCGCAGCAGATCAAGGAGACCAGTTCTGTTGGCCAACTGGTATCCATGCTCTGCCAGCCTGGGCGCCTGATATTGCCAGCCAGGGCCTGGTTTTGCACTCCCTTCTGTGGCTCCAGGGAACGGAAACCCCTGCCACACAGTTCCTGCCAATCTGTCATGCCACAAAGCCCCCAGAAACCCTTGGATGTCCCCAAAATCCCACTCAAATGAGCAATATCAAAGTCTGACCTCGCACCCCGGGGCCAAACTCAGAAGCAGATGTAAAAGGGCTTGCTATGACATGCTTTTGCAGGGCCTCCCTTCCGTACTTCCCATTGCGCTTTTGCCTGGGAAAAAAATGGGGTGGGTTCCTTCTGGACCTTACAGCAGAGATAATGGATACAGAGGTCGGCAGCAGGCGGAAATTATTTCCGTGCCATGTCTCCGCAGCCAGGGCCCACCTCTTGGAGCAGGGCACTTGCTTATGCTGCTTGAAACTGGGCTCCGCGGCGGCATCTTTTCCATTAAGATAATCAAAGCCATTCAATCTAAGATCCGGGCGCTCTACCCGCCTCTCGGCACTGGCGCCTTCAGGAGAGCACACTCGTCCTCTCTTCGCTCCGGAAAGAACGGGGCTCTTGCTCTTGTTGCGGAAGGAGGGGTGCAGGTGGCTTTGTTCCTCCTTCAAAGGGAGGATTTTGCAAAGTTTGGGATGCCTTTCTCGACCAACCTTCCTTGCGCTCGCTCTGCAGGAACGCAGCCGGAAGCAACCTAACACAGCGTCCTTCTTCCTCAGATTCAGTGACATCGCACCCCTCCTCCCTACTTGTCCCCTTCCCCAAAATGCCATTTGCGCAACCATCTTACTAAGGCAGTGTTTCCCAACCCGTGGGCCGTGAGACCTAAAATAAAGTGCACAGCTCTAGATTACTAAATATGGTTTTCTGTGGGCGACCAGATGGTGTGATGGAGGCTCCTTCTATGGAGGCTTTTAAATAGAGGCTGGATGGCCATCTGTCGGGGGTGCTTTGAATGTATTTTCTTGCTTCTTGGCAGGGGGTTGGACTGGATGGCCCATGAGGTCTCTTCCAACTTTGTGATTCTATGACTATGTTGTGTATCAGAAACTAGAGCGGATGTGGTCTCTCCAATGCCATTTTTTGACTCAGCACAACAAATACCCAAACCAAATCTAAAGTTGACCAAAAACAAATTCGTAACCCTAATGTTGGAGAGTAGTCCCTGGTCAAAAAAAGGTTGGGAGCCACTGTACTAAGGGGAAAAGGCTGCTGCTTCCTCCACAAATTATAGATCCTAGAGTTGGAAGGGACCCCAAGGGCCATCCGGTCCAACCCCCTTCTATCTGCCAGAGAGGAAAATGTACAATCCAAGCCGTCCTGACAGATGGCCACCCAACCTCCAAAGAAGGAAGGTGTCAGCGGACTCCAACGCAGCACAGTCCTCTGTTGAAGAGCTCTAACAATTAGGAAGTTCTTCCAAATGTTTAGGTGGAATCCATGGCGCATTTGTGTCCTAGTTGCCAGAATAGCAGAACCGTCCTGACAGATGGCCACCCAACCTCCAAAGAAGGAAGGTGTCAGCGGACTTGACTCTTTCTCCTCAATGGGAGGAGTCAAGCTCCACAAGCTTGACTCTTTCTCCTCAATGGGACATCCTTCCCAAGGACCAATTTCCGACTTCCGATTTCATACTGAAATCGGAAGCGCAAACCAAGGGGCCTGGTCTGAGGTGAGGGGTCTGGGCCGGGACAGTTACAGACAACCAGGGGCCTCAAAACCAAGGTGCCTCCTCCCCGGAGAAAAGCTAGCCGTATTTTTTGAGCAAACAGAAGGCAAAAAAAGAGAAAAATATTGTTCCACACCTAATGCAAAGGTTGGGGTACATTTCTTGCCTCTTCTGCTGCATTTTAGGCTTGTCAGCCACGCTGTAGAAAAACAAAAATCATGGAGGGGAGGGAAAAAAAAGATTTTATGTAAAAAGTGACATCAGAACAGAGAGTCAAATCACAGCACGTTTCCCTCCTGGAGCCAAGAGGACACCCAAGTCAGGGACCCTGGTTTTCTGCGCATCCTGAAACCGGACTCGAAGCAGCCGCCGGGTAGGCCGGTCCGGTCCCAAAAAAGGGGTCTCTCTCTATGGGAAAGGGACGGGGAGCGGGGGAAGGAAGGACATCGTCGCCCTGCCTGCCAAGGTTTCCCGGGACTGGAAACGGCTCTGGCGGAAAGAGGGGCACGAGGAGTCTCGCTGCAAGGCTCCCTGGCCTCCTCCTGCTCCGCAGAATCCACCCTTCCCCTTTTGCATGAGATATTTCCATTTGGAGCCCCACCGAGGTTGCAACTGTGATGCCCACAGCCTCATTTGTGTCATCTATTCCGCTCACGACGAACTCGCTTGGATTGGGGTTGGGTTGGCAGTTTGCTGTGGCTTTTGGGTGTTCCTGGTTGCAGAATGACTGACAGTAAACCAGTGTCCCCGCATAGAGCATGCAATGGCAGTGCATACAAAGCCCTTTTGGCAACCCTTTCGGAGCGGCAGATGCCACGTTGCCCGGGCAAAACAGAAGCAGCAAGCAATTTCGTCCCGAATGGATGGCTTAAGCTACAGGTCCTGGAAGGTCCGGAGCACAATCTTAAAATTTGTAGAGAAGGACCCAGGCTCTCTCTCTCCGTGTGGATGTCTGTGTACAGGCAGTCCCCAAGTTACAAACAAGAGAGGTGCTGTAGGTACGGGTGGGTTTTGAGGGGAATTGGCCTGGACATTTTGGAGTTGTAGTTTCTGGGATGTACAATTTTCCCTCGCTACTTCGTGGTTCGCTTTATGTGGACTCGCCGTTTTGCGGATTTTAAAAATAAATATTAATACAAAATATTTAAATTACAACGGGCATCTGAAAGGGAGGCTGGTGTGCAGTCGCTCGCGTCATGTCGCTTTTTTTGTTTATTCCGTCGGTGACTCGGGTTACGAGCAGACGTCCTTTGTCCTCCTTGTTTCGGGCAGGGATGCAGCCCGCCAGAGGCCCCAATGCCACCCCAACAAGATCCAGGCCTGCCTCCCTGGCCTCTGCGGACCCTAGCAAAGCGGTGGCCTGAGGCACAGCGGGGCTCCAGAGGCGGGTATTTATTTATTTATTTACAGTATTTCTATACCAATTTTCTCACCCCTAGGGGGTAAGGAAGCACGAGGCTAGACTGCACATGCATGCTTCTAATGCATATGCTAAAATAATGTATAAATATTACAATTAATGTGACGTCCCTACTTCGTGGATTTTCACTTATTGCGGGTGGTCCTGGAACGTAAACCCCACAAAAAGTGAAAGAACACTGTACAGTTCACCTGCAAGCAAAGAGCACACTGAACTCCACCCAAGATGGACCTGGATCTAACTTGGCACACAGAGCCCACATGATCAGCAAAAAATACTGGAGGTCTTTGGGGAAAATTCACCTTGATTCGGGGGAGTTGTAGTTCACCTACATCCGGAGATTGCTGTGAACCCAAATACCAATGGATCTGGACCAAATTTGGTACACATCCCTGATATGCCCAAATTTGAATACTGATACTTAAGTTGAATTTGTTTTTAAGTCAGAACCTGACTGTGAGAGCTGTTCAGCGGTGGAACTCTCTGCCCCAGAGTGTGGTGGACGTTCCTTCTTTGGAGGCTTTTAAACAGAGGCTAGATGGCCATCTGTCGAGGGTGCTTTGAATGCAATTTTCCTGCTTCTTGGCAGAATGGGGTTGGACTGGGTGTCCCACCCACGAGGTCTCTTCCAACTCTAGGATTCTAGGATTTTGTAAGTGAAACTCCAGTTTAAAATATTATGTTTAAGCTTTGGATAGCCTAGGGAAGGATGAACACCCCTGTGGAGTTTCTTTTGCTCTCTCTGCCCCTGTTCAGAAGACTTCACCTCACTTTCTATCCCTGTGATAACTGGAATTTGTTGTGGAAACAAGGACTGGTGATGAAGCTTCAGTAGAGACGAGGCATGTGCAATCCATTAAAAATGGTTCTAAAGTACTTACATAACTGGGGCCCCCTAGGTCCTTCATTTCTGAAGTGTTTCTAATGTTTTGGTGGTGAAAATTTTGGAATTCTAATGAAACTTCAAAATTATTTCGTTAATGGCGATTGTGCATGAGCATTAAGGAAAACATTACTATCAATGGGTAAATTTTGGGGGTTCTCTCTCCCTCCTTTTTTGAGCTATCCTGTTGAAACTTGCTACAGTGGTAGAACACATTTACCACTATTAGCTCACCAAATTTCGGAACATTCAACTTACCCATGTATTTTTGGCGAATTTTCAAAGTTTGTATAAAAACATCTTTTTAATAATAGAGAAAATCCGTTCCTAGTTTGAAAGTGTTGTTTCCTGTTTCATTTTGCGGTCTTTACTTTGAAAGTAATGGTTCTACTCCAGAAAATTTGTTTTTTGTGGCAGAAACTTTGTTAAATTTGGGGAGTCTCAACAAAGCAAAATGTGCTATAGGGTGATGTCCCTTGTGCAAAGACAACAGTTTTGCGGTTTAATAAACTTTCGCCATGTTTTTATGACAAACCAATTAGTAACTGCCATTTATAATCCAGGAACAGATATCATAGTACAGACCCCATCACGGGACATCTAGACTGACCCCCTTCTTCTGGGCAGAAAGGCACCATCCAACTATCCTGACATCCATATGCTTGCCTTACTGAGTTGGACCCTCAAGACACCATCCCTATAGATCATTACTTTTTTTTATAGCCCAGTATAATCAATTTATCCCCCAAAAAGCAAAAACAGCAATCCCCTTGAATGCCGGTCTGTCTTTATGACACACAACCACATAATTGCACCTTAGCACAGACTTATACTATTACTTTCTTATTTTAGTCCTCTTTGCAGATTCAATAATTTTATTTATTACTAGCTGTCCCCTGCCACGCGTTGCTGTGGCCCAGTCTGTTGATATGGAAAATAAAGTAATGAGAAAGCGTTGGTTTCTAATATATGTAATTTCTTTCTGCGTGTGGGTAAACAGTATTTCTTGCTGCTTCTTTGTCAGTGTTGATGTAGAGATTGTCTGATTTGCCTACTCTGGAACATGCAACATATAATTCTCCTTCTTCAGGGGTCCCTTTCAAATCTATGATACTATATCTGTGTGTGTGTGAATCATATCTATCTATATCTATGGCTGGATGGCTCTTTGTCAGGAGGGCTTTGATTATGTTTTCTTGCCCTGGTGAAGGGAGTTGAACTGGATGGCCTTAAGTATTTTCTGTTGGTCATGGGGGTTCTGTGTGGGAAGTTTGCCCCAATTCTGTCGTTCATGGAGGCATGTAGCCAGGGGGGGGGGGCTCGGGGGGCTTCAGCCCCCCCCCCGAAATTTTCATGGTGGTTCGCGAAAAGGCCTTACTGGTGCATTATTTAAACTGTTATGTTTATTCATATCATGATCTGATCACAATACTCAATATATCCCATATGCATGGGGGTATTGGGGTAATGATACAAAAGGTTTGCTAGGCTAGACCCTCTTTCACTCAGACTCAGCCCCCCCCCAAAACTCAGCCCCCCCCCGACCCCCCTGAAAAAAAATTCAGCCCCCCCCCCGAAACGAAATCCTGGCTACGGGCCTGGTTCATGGGGTTCAGAATGCTCTTTGATTGTAGGTGAACTATAAATCCCAGTAACTACAACTCCCAAATGTCAAGGTCTATTTCCCCCAAACTCCATCTGTGTTCATATTTGGGCGTATTGAGTGCTTGTGCCAAGTGTGGTCCAGATCCATCATTGTTTGAGTCCACAGTGCTCTCTGGATGTAGGTGAACTACAACTCCCAAACTCAAGGTCAATGCCCACCAAACCCTTCCAGTATTTTCTGTTGGTCATGGGAGTTCTGTGTGCCAAGTCTGGTTCAATTCCATAGTTGATGGAGTTCAGAATGCTCTAAATGGCGACTGCTGAGGACAGCCCTCACTTGGGTTCTTCTGCCTCGTTTGGGTCCTGAGCAGCATTGCATTCTGGGAAATGTAGTTTATGGCAGGGCCTTTTGCAATCTCTACCATTGGGGGCCTGGCCTTCCGAAACTACACTTAAGATGGCAGTGATTGGTCACGCCCACAGCACCTTTCTTATGGCGGCACCGGTGAAGATGGGGCCAAAGGAATGATTTTAAAAGGACTTTATGTTCTCTTGGCTGCACCAAAGTTGCTGAATGGTTATAGTGAAAATTAAACTGTGTTTGAGTTTAGTTTTTAATGCGTCGTGGTGTTATTGTTACTGTTTATTGCTTTGTTTATGAGTTTATTTATTGTCTGTATTGTTGTTGTTGATGTCCTTCGGGAGATGGTAGCGGGGTATAAATAAAGGTTTATTATTATTATTAGTTCTTTATTTACTGTTATAATTTTAGAGTTTTTTTAAATACTTGTAGCCAGATTTTGTTCATTTCCATGGTTTCTTTCTGTTGAAATTGTCCACATACTTGTGGATTTCAATGGCTTCTCTGTGTAGGCTGACATGTGGCTACACAAAACTCAAACATAGGGGAACTCCAGACGAGAAACAATCAGGAACAGCTAATCACCTCTCAACAAAGGATTCCTTCAGGCAGTAACAAGCCACACCTAAAAACTGTCAGGCCATCAAATGCTAATCAAGGTGGCCAATTGAAAAAGTCACCCCTACCTCCAAGAGACAAGAGTCCTTTCTCCCACTCTGGACATCATTCCACAGATACATAAACTTCACTTGCCTCATTTCCAACAGACCTCACAACTTCTGAGGATGCCTGCCATAGATGCAGGTGAAACGTCAGGAGAGAATGCTTCTAGAGCATGGTCATACAGCCCAGAAAACCTACAACCAAGTGATTCCAGCCATGAAAGTCTTCGACAATACATTGCCCACTCTATCCATCATGCCCGGCTGACCCCAGCTACCAGATGGAAGGCTCCACCATAGGACATTTTTTGTTGGGTCCGGGCCATCTTCTCACTTGGTATCTATCAGGGCTTTTTGCAAGAAAATCTATGGGTGCCTGGACTCAACTGGATACGGAGCGCCTGCAATGGCAGTGCCAATGGTGACCATTTGGGTAACAAACTGCAGAGAGAGGAGGAGGAAGATGGGACTAGAAGTTCACAGAGTTTCTCTGATGCCCGACATGATGTGAATGAAGCAAGATTAGGCTTACAGAATTATTATCTCCATCCCAGGAACTCTTGGTTTTCTGTGACGTTTTACCGAGTGTGCATAGATCTCTATGTGGGATGGAGGTGGGCAATGCCCACTCTATCTATAATGCCCAGTTGACCCCAGCTACCAGATGGAAGGCTCCACATAGGACACTTTTTGTTGGGTCCAGGTCTTCTTCTCACTTGGTCTCTATCAGGGATTTTTGCATGAGAATCTATGGGTGTCCAGGCTCAACTGGATACGGAGCGCCTGCAATGGCAGTGCCAATGGTGGCCATTTGGATGACAAACTGCAGAGAGAGGAGGAGGAAGATGGGACTAGAAGTCCACAGAGTTTCTCTGATGCCCGAAATGTTGTGAATGAAGCAAGATTGGGCCTACAGAATTATTATCTCTATCCCAGTAACTCTTGGTTTTCTAAGTGACATTTCACAGAGTGTGCATAGATCTCTATGGGGGATGGAGGCAGCCAATGCCCACTCTATCTAACATGCCCAGCTGACCCCAGCTACCAGATGGAAGGCTCCACATAGAACACTTTTTGTTGGGTCCAGGTCTTCTTCTCACTTGCTATCTATCAGGGCTTTTTGCAAGAGAATCAACTGGATACGGAGCGCCTGCAATGGCAGTCCCAATGGTGGCCATTTGGGTGACAAACTGCAGAGAAAGGAGGAGGAAGATGAGACTAGAAGTCCACAGAGTTTTTCTGATGCCTGACATGATGTCAATGAAACAAGATTGGGCCTACAGAATTATTACCTCCATCCCAGGAACTCTTGGTTTTCTAAGTGACGTTTTACCGAGTGTGCATAGATCTCTATGTGGGATGGAGGTGGGCAATGCCCACTCTATCCATCATGCCCAGCTGACCCCAGCTACCAGATGGAAGGCTCCACATAGAACACTTTTTGTTGGGTCCAGGTCTTCTGCTCACTTGGTATCTATCAGGGCTTTTTGCAAGAGAACCTATGGGTGTCCGGGCTCAATTTGATACGGAGGGCCTGCAATGGCAGTGCCAATGGTGGCCATTTATTTGGGTGACAAACTGGAGGAGGAGGGGACCAGCAGTCCACAGAGTTCCTCTTATGCCCGACATGATATGAATGAAGCAAGATTGGGCCTACAGAATTATTATCTCCATCCCAGGAACTCTTGGTTTCCTAAGTGACATTTTACTGAGTGTGCATAGATCTCTATGGAGGATGGAGGTGGGCAATGCCCACTTTATCCATCATGCCCAGTTGACCCCAGCTACCAGATGGAAGGCTCCACATAGGACACTTTTTGTTGGGTCCAGGTCTTCTTCTCCCTTGGTATCTATCAGGGATTTTTGCATGAGAATATATGGGTGTCCGGGCTCAATGTGATACGGAGGGCCTGCAATGGCAGTGCCAATGGTGGCCATTTATTTGGGTGACAAACTGGAGAGTGAGGGAGAGAGAGAGAGAAGAGAAGGAGGAGGAGGGGACCAGCAGTCCACAGAGTTCCTCTGATGCCCAACATGATATGAATGAAGCAAGATTGGGCCTACAGAATTATTATCTCCATCCCAGGAACTCTTGGTTTTCTAAGAGACGTTTTACCGAGTGTGCATAGATCTCTATGTGGGATGGAGGTGGGCAATGCCCACTCTATCCATCATGCCCAGCTGACCCCAGCTACCAGATGGAAGGCTCCATATAGGACACTTTTTGTTCGGTTCAGGTCTTCTCACTTGGTATCTATCAGGGCTGTTTGCTTGAGAATCTATGGGTGCCTGGGCTCAACTGGATACGGAGCGCCTGCAATGGCAGTGCCAATGGTGGCTATTTATTTGGGTGACAAACTGGAAAGAGAGAGAGGGAGGAGGAGGAGGAGGAAGAGGAAGAGGTGAACAACAGTCCACAGAGTTTCTCTGATACCTGACATGATGTCAATGAAGCAAGATTGAGCCTATAGAATGATTATAGTTAGGACGCTGCTCATGAGACCTGGTCTATCAGACAGACGGAGAGCCGCGACACACAAGAGTGACGTTCCTCTGCATAAAGGAAGCCACGTCATCCTGACTTCTATTTCTATTTCCACCATCAAGCATTCCCACTTTTTCCCATCCTCGGGCCAGTTTTCGGGTCTCTAGCAATCCCCCCTTGGCGGCACAGGCGGAACGAGTCATACGGTTTTCCTCCCCTGTGTCCCTCTAATCTGAAAACCTCCAAGCCACAGTCCTCTACCTTCACACACCTTTTGTGTTGTGTCGGAAGCTGAAAGAAGATTGCTTTTGAAGGTACATCTGATCCCACAGCAAGCGAGTGAAATGTGGCGACACTCCACACGCCAGGCAGGAGCAGGGCTAAATTTTGGTAAGGCGGCTCGTAAGACGACAATCAAGAATATGAAAAAATTAAATTTGTTTAAATATTACAAGACCCCCCTGGATAACGAGCGAGTTTTGATTTACTTTTTCATAATCTTGGGATTAATTACCACAGCAACTGTCACTCATCCAATGAAGAATGCAGAGATATTGGTAATTTGCACAGTGAGTTGGGAGAGGAAGCCAGTTTAGCAGGAAAAGGAATGCGGTTAGAACAGCACGTTGCCAGCTACAGTAGATCATGCCGACCAGAAGGCTGGCAGTTTGTGTCGTTCCTAAAGCAGAAGTGGGTCGGGATGAGCTCCTGCTGTCAGCCCTAGCTTCTGTTTACCTAGCAGTTCGAAAACAGCAATGTGAGTAGATAAATAGGTACCGCTTTGGTGGGGAGGTAAAAGGCACCCCTGAAGATATGCTGGCAATTCGATCAGGAATGTGTCCATGGGCAACAGGCTGCTCTGTGTGGAAAAATGGAACAAGAGCACCTCCCCATGGCCGAGTTGAGCACAGCCTCCAGATGCCAGAGATGAGAAAGAGGGAAGCCTTGCCTTTGTCTACGTACTGTCTGTTGTCAACTGCGTAACGGCACTGAATGTTTGCCATATATGTATTCTGTAATCCGCTCTGAGTCCCCACAAGGAGATAGAGCGGGATATAAATAAAGTATATTAATTTACCCGCCTGCCAAGGACCCCTTGTGTCGTTCCTAAAGCAGAACCCGTTGCCTAAGCCAACTCTGAACATCGCAGGGAAACACGAACACACAAACAAACACAAACACAGATCTGAAATACGGGTCTCTCAGAATAACCTGAAGCAGGGAAGAAGATGCCGAGGCTTACCAAGGTTGTTGTCCGTGAGCACCTCCTTGACCCGCTTGGTGATCCCGTAGGTGTCCAGCTCCGGGGACATGGCGACCAGCTCCTGGATGCTGAGCGAGGAGTGGCCGGAGAGGAGCAACGGGGCATTGGGCTGGGGGTCAGTGGCGGTGGAGGCCTCGCCGGGCTCCTGCAGCTTGCCTTCCTTGCCGCCCTCAATGGTGGGGCAGGGCTGCTGGACCAGTTCGGTAAGACTCTTCACCGACTCGCTGGAGCTCATGGGAGACTCCGGAGCAGGGCTGCAGCTGGCAGAGGTCTTTGGGGTGCTTTCTGCAGGGAGAAAAAGGGCAGGGGGAAGGCAGCGTTACCCAACGTGTCTCCAAACACTTCCCACTGTCATCGCGCACCCTACAGCCTCCCCTGTTACTCATTTCGGAAGAAGGTTCCTCAAAGGCTTGTATGCATGGACCTCTCCGGTGCTTTATAGCCAGCTAACATCTATACCCAAAGTTGTCCAGGTGCTGCTGCCTGCCTACTTTTTCCCTTCTCCAGTTCCGAGAAGGCCTAACTCCCAATGTCTCCAAGGCAATGCTCTGGGAATGGTGGGCTGGCTCTCTTGGTGGCTCTTTCTCTCCTTCCTCCATTTTCCTCCTAGACCTTCTCCCTCTCTTTCCTTATTCCCTTGCATTCCCTCACACGCCTCTCCCCCCTTTTTCTTTCCCTTCTTTTTCTCTTTTCCCATTCCCTCCCAATCTCTTCCTTCCTTCCTTCCCTTCCTTCCTTCCTTCCTTCCTTCCTTCCTTCCTTCCTTCCTTCCTTCTTTCCTTCCTTCCTTCTTTTTCTCTTTCTCCATTCCCTCCCTTCCTCTTCCTTCTTCTTTCCCTTCTTTCCTTCCTTCCCCTTTTTCTCTTTTCCCATTCCCTTCCTTCTTTTCTTCCTTCCTTCCCTCTTTTTCTCTTTTCCCATTCCCTCCCTTTCTCTCCTTCCTTTCCTTCTTTCCTTCTTTTCTCTTTTCCCATTCCCTCCCTTCTCTTCCTTCCTTCCTCCTCCTTCTTTTTCTCTTTTCCCATTCCCTCCCTTTCCTTCCTTTCTTCCTTCCCCTTCTTTTTCTTTTCCCATTCCCTCCCTCCTTTCCTTCCCCTTCTTTTTATCTTTTCCCATTCCCTTCCATTCCCTTCCTTCCCCTTCTTTTTATCTTTTCCCATTCCCTCCCTTTCTCTTCTTTCCTTCCTTTCTTCCTTCCTCTTCTTTTTCTCTTTTCCCATCCCCCCTTTCTCTTTCTTCTTTCCCCTTCTTTTTCTCTTTCCCCTTCCTTTTCCCTCTCTTCACTTCCTTCTTCCTTCCTTTTCTTCCTTCCTTCCGTCCTTCCCTTCCTTCCCTTCTTTTCCTTTCCCTCCTCCTCTTTCTCTTCCTTCCTTCCCTTCTTTTTCTCTTTTTCCATTCCCTCCCTTTTTCTTCCTTCCTTCTTCCCCCCCCCCCGCCTTTTCTTTTTCTCTTTTCTTGTCTTCACTCCCTCCTTTCCCCTCATATGCATCTCACTTAACTGCAAGCAAGTTGCTTCCCTTCCTTTCTTGACCAATGACATCACAGCCACTTCACCCTCCACAACCAGACTGCTTTGTCCCTTTCCTTTTCTCGGCTCTTGGGCCTGAAAGGGATGGGTTTTCTTCTATCTATCTATCTATCTATCTATCTATCTATCTATCTATCTATCTATCTATCTATCTACCTACCTACCTACCTACCTACCTACCTACCATATTGATATATCCCGCCTTCCTCACCCCAGAGGGGACTCAAGGCGGCCTTACAACAGGCAGCAATTTGATGCCACACACACAAACACATCGATCAAATAAACAATTAAAATGAAAACCAAAATTATTAAAATGGACAATTAAAATCATGCCAACCAAAACATAATCCAGGGTCGTTCTAAGCCCCTCGATTACATTATGTATCCCTTCCAATGTTTCAAGATGGCAATATTGACAACCACAGATTCTTTTTGGGGTCGTGCTCTGTCTTGGCATGGAGACTACCCTCCATTCTAGGAACAACCCAAACTACTTGTGCTCTGAAAGGGAAGAAATTCTGGATTATGTTTTGCACAGAGTCCATGAAAGTCGAGGGAGAGGGCTTCAGCCTCCCTTCCGGGACACATCCCGCATTTCTGCATTGACTTTCCCGATCTCTGGAGATCAGTTGTGAATGGGCTTTAGGCAACACGCTTCATATGGAAGAGATAACATTGGTCGCTGTGTTTTTGTTGTTTTATTGCTTTGGGCTCTTGGTGCTAAGGCTAATAAGTGACTCTGCTATACATTCATGGAAAGGGTCTTTGTGAGCAGGGGAAAGCATGGGATTCTGTTGTGCAATAGCACAATGACAAAGAAAGCTATTCTCTTCTATAAAAAGCACTCCACGGGATCAGGCCTTGCAGCAGCCATGATGGAGGCTTGTGGGACACACAATGGAGGGCAAAAGGAAGTGTTCTCCCGTAGAAGGCCCTTGGAAATCATGTCAAAGCAGAGACTACTACTACTTTTAGACTGCAACTCACATACTTTCCCAGGTATCACGGCCACAATCCCCCTTTGTCTGCCTGCCCCAATCTCCTTCATGGGGATTCATCGTGTGCCTCCCGTTTCTCACATTCATAGAATCATGGAGTTGGAAGAGACCTCATGAGCCATCCAGTCCAACCCCATTCTGCCAAGAAGCAGGACAATCGCATTCAAAGCACCCCCGACAGATGGCTATCCAGCCTCCATTACAAAGCCTCCAAAGAAGGAGCCTCCACCACACAGGAGACTTCACCACATGGAAGGAGCCTCCACCACACGGAAGGAGCCTCCACCACATGGAAGGAGACTCCACCACACGGAAGGAGCCTCCACTACACAGAAGGGGAGCCTCCACCACATGGAAGGAGCCTCCACCACACGGAAGGAGCCTCCACCACATGGAAGGAGCCTCCACTACACAGAAGGGGAGCCTCCATCACACGGAAGGAACCTCCACCACACGGAAGGAGCCTCCACTACACAGAAGGGGAGCCTCCACCACACGGAAGGAACCTCCACCACACGGAAGGAGCCTCCACTACACAGAAAGGGAGCCTCCACCACATGGAAGGAGCCTCCACCACGCGGAAGGAGACTCCACCACACAGAAGGAGCCTCCACCACAAGGAAGGAGCCTCCACCACATGGAAGGAGCCTCCACTACATAGGAGACTTCACCACACGGAAGGAGCCTCCACCACACGGAAGGAGCCTCCATCACATAGGAGACTTTACCACATGGAAGGAGCCTCCACCACACAGAAGGGGAGCCTCCACCACACGGAAAGAACCCCCAACACATGGAAGGAGCCTCCACCACGCGGAAGGAGACTCCATCACACCGAAGGAACCTCGACCACACAGGAGACTTCACTACATGGAAGGAGCCTCTACCACGCAGAAGGAGCCTCCTGCACACAGAAGGAGCCTCTACCACGCAGAAGGAGCCTTCACCACATAGGAGACTTCACCACACGGAAGGAGCCTCCACCACACGGAAGGGGAGCCTCCACCACATGGAAAGAGCCCCCAACACACGGAAGGAGCCTCCACCATGGGGAAGGAGCCTCCACCATGCGGAAGGAGCCTCCACCATGCGGAAGGAGCCTCCACCACGTGGAAGGAGCCTACACCACATAGAGGGAGACTCCACCACATGGAAGGAGCCTCTACCACACAGAAGGAGCCTCTACCACAAAGAAGGAGCCTCCATTACACAGAAGGAGCTGCCACCACACAGAAGCGGAGCCTCTAGCACACGGAAAGAGCCTCCAGCACATGGAAGGAGCCTCCTGCACATGGAAGGTGCCTCCACTACATGGAAGGAGCCTCCACCACACAGAAGGGGAACCTCCACTACACAGAAGGACAGATAGAGGAGGATTTCCCCCCAGTCGCCTTCTCTGGAGCGCAGTCTTTGGCACAACCTCTTGTGTATGTTTTGTTTCTAGGAAGCAAGAAAGTCCTCTCAAACACTATCAACACACACTGCGGTAGGTGAAGTGACCGAGCCGCGCTGTTATAAATCAAATCTATTTAATAAAAATTAACAGGGTTGCTATTTTCAAAATAATTCACCCGGGAAGATGCTTCAACACGACCATAAAGGTCCTTCTCAACTCAAGCAGTTGGATTTCTTTGTCCCTTCACGGAAGATGCAAAGGAGATCTCCCCCTGCTCCTCGTTCCAAGGCAAAAAGAGTGCTGCGCATCTAATTGCTTTTCCTTGCGTAGCCTCGGGTCGCTCTGCGGCAGCATCCCAGGCCCAACAAAACGTTATTTTTGCACCGGGAAGAGTGAACCCACGGTGCTGTAAACGTGCCCTGATGCAACCATGCGAGGGACCGACTTGGCAGATCATCCATCTTGTTTGCGGTGGCGGATGGACGGAGTGAATTCCGCACGCGGCAAACAGATTCCTCCTCCTCTGATGCGTGTCCTTTAACCCGCAGCAAGGTCAAAACGGTGGTTAATAAAAAAAGGCACGGTCCAAATTCCACCTCCAAGCGCCAAATGCGGCACCAAAAGGAGGGGAAAAGGAGAGCAGAGAAAGGGAGGAAAGACACCGGGTGCAAAAGGGAGGGAGGAAATGGGATTTTCGTCTCAGCCAAGGCCTTTTCAACTCGGCAGTCCACGAATAATTTGGATCCTGGGGATTCAGAACCCAGAACCAAAAATGACATCTCCATCACTCTTTCAGCCTTTAGTTGTTTCAAGCTACAACTCCCACAATCCTGTCCCATTGTGCAGAATACCCCGAAAGTCAAATGTTTCCCACCTTGGTCTCTAGAGGAGGCTGGGCAGGAGAAGAGAAAGGACGTCTGGGATTTCTAGTTTAAACGAAAATGTCGGATAATATGGAGTCTCCTACTGTTATCTGTTCGACGTAGCGCTACGCACCTAGAATACTAACAACAGGGACTCAAAGGGTTAAGGCAAGGCAATGCCTCAGGGCTAGAGCGGCCCAGCAGGAAGGGAAATCACCGAGGGATGGAGAGAGGACACTTCCACTTCTGGTCCTGCCTCTTTTCTCCCTCATTTTTCATGTAGAGAGAGTTGTGGCGCCCTCCTATATTTGAAGGGGAAATGCTGGAGGAAAAGGGGGTGGTCAGATAACAGCATTGGATAAGACGGAATGTCGGATAAGCGAAGGTCAGATAAGCAAGACTCTATTGTATTGGGAATGGAGACAGAGTTGGGGAGCGCTCCTTTAATTGAAGTGGAAATGCTGGAGCAAAAGGAGGGTGTCGGATAAGAGCGTCGG